CGTTGTGCGATGGCAGCTTCACGCCGGGCTCCTGCAGCCTCACTGCGTACAAGCTGACGCCCAGCGGCTACGAGTGGGGCCGCTCCAACACGGACAAGGGGAACAACCCAAAGGGATACCTCCCCTCGCACTACGAACGCGTGCAGATGCTGCTGTCCGACCGCTTTCTCGCATTCTTCATGGTACCGTCGCAGGGCTCCTGGAACTACAACTTCATGGGTGAGTGGCGTCGCGTCGATGCCGGCGGCGTGCCATCGTTGCCCGGGGGGGGGGGGGGGGAGCCCAACCGCATGAATAACACGACGCTCGGCTGTCTGCGCCGCGAGTTGGCTCGCCGTGTCAGAGGAGCCAGGCCTCTGGCAACTTGACTGCCCTTGCCCTTGGTGCCAGTGTTCTCATTGCATGATTCGATTGCCCTTATTTGAGTTCACGGTTTTATTTACCAGTTGATTATTGGTTTTTGCTGTGTTGATTCATGTCGAATTCATACCGGCTGCTTGCTTTGCATGACCCAGTCACAACACGTGTGAAATGGAACCGATGGATTCTTACACACACGCACACGTCGGTTTAATCTTGAGTTGCTACATCGTGGGTTGTGGGGTGGGGGTTGGAGTCTTGCTTTCGTCTATTTAATATCTCGTTTGGTTTTGACGGCGACTGCGTTTCCATTCCAGGCGTGCGTCACGATGCGAACATGAAGTACGACCTGCAGCTGGCGAACCCGCGCGAGTTCTACCACGAAGTGCACCGTCCCTCCCACTTCCTCAACTTCGCCTCCATCCAGGACGGAGAGACATTCAACGCCGACCGCGAGGACGCCTACGCCTAGTTGGGGGTTGTTGGTGGGCCCCTTCTTACCCCAGTTCGCCCAGCCACCTGAAGAGGCGACCGCTCCATGAATTGCTCGGCCAGGTTTTGGCGGTCCGTTTTACCGCATGGGTTGGCCCCGATGCCTGACGGGACGCCACGCGTGATCGTTAAAAATCAGGATGTACATAACCATCAAGTCCACACAGCAATGTGGTGTGGTGCTTTGCTTAGATTAGAGCGTTTTGTTATTTCGTTCCATGGTTTTTGTTCTCTTATCAGCCGTGGCTTTTCCAAGATAGTAGAGCGGAAGTGAATTAAACTCTGCTTTGGCTCGAGTGTAGTAGTGGTTTCATTTTTACCTAAGGTTGGCGTATCGACGTACGTTTTAAGATGTGAGTACTTGCTTATTAAAGCGCAACGTGTATTTTCTTCACACAATGACCAATAAAATTATGATAATGAATGTTTCAAGTCTGTTTAATAAAACGTTTAGCTCGTGCACTGAAGATCTGGAAAAATAGTTGGTGTTGATTGTCATCAAATTAAAATGAAATTTCACGTGATGCTTTTACACAAAAGTGAGTTCCCTCATTGCATTAGGGCTGAGCATGCTGTAAATGAAAGCAAAAGTGGGACACTTTGCTTGACATTACATGTAATATGTTCAGCAAAGATGGCCAGAAAAAATGCACTTTATTTTTCTATTAAAATTGAGTTCCCTCCTCGCATTAGGGCTTACTCTGCTGTAAATGAAAGAAAAAGTGGGAAATTTTACCGAGAATTTTTACACGAAAAATCGACATAACCTATGTCAATTTTGAGAAAAAATGGCCAGAAATTTTTTTTTTTTTAAATAAAAAGTGCGTTCCCTCATCACATTAGGGCTTTGGAAGCTATAAATGAAAGAAAGTGGGAAATTTAACCTATAATTTTTACACGAAAAATCGACATACTAGCCTATGTCGTTTTTGAGAAAGAAGGGTCAAACAAGTATAACCAGTAAAAACAAAGTTTTTCACTATAAATCCTTTATATGCGTGGTGGCTAGAGTCCTCTCGTCCTCTGGCTTGAGATGGCTGCCACCTATGGGTCAGATGTATGCATGCCACCATTAAGCAATTGGTAATTAAATATAATATTTTTGTCCTAATAAGTGTAAAATTTAGGAAAAAAAATTTCACGAACATTAATTGTCACAACGAGTCTGTGTGCAAAATGTCAGCTCGATTGGATCACGGGAAGTGGGGTAAAAAACGACCGAAAGATTTTCACGGTCGACCACGTGCAAGCAAGTGAACTTAATATAAAGGATTTAAAAATATATTCGCCTGTGGAGGACGCGGGGATCGATCCCGCAACCTTTGGCATGGTAAGCAAGGGCGCTACCAACTGCGCTACTCTGCCACGGCCTGTGGAGGTGTCACGCTCTGGGCTCCTACACTGTGACGTTCAGCCAAAGCCATGAGTGAGCTATATTTGAAAAAATGTAAAATAAAAAAATGTTGCCTACAAAGTGTAAAATTTTGGAAAAAAATTTTCACGAACATTAATTGTCACGCACAACGAGTCTGTGGAAAATGTCAGCCCGATTGGATCACGGGAAGTGGGTTAAAAAACGACCGCAAGATTTACACGGTCGTAAGCCAAGCAAGCAAGCGAACTTAATATAAAGGATTTTAAAATGGACTTTATTTTTTTCTAAAAAGTGAGTTCCCTCATCACATTAGGGCTTAGGAAGCTGTAAATGAAAGAAAAAGTGGGAAATTTTTATACGAAAAACCGACATACTAACCTATGTCGATTTTGAGAAAAAATGGCCAGAAAAATATGTATTTTTTAAAATAAGAAGTGAGTTCCCTCATCACATTAGGGCTTAGGAAGCGGTAAATGAAAGACAAAGTGGGAAATTTAACCTATAATTCTTACACGAAAAATCGACATACTAGCCTATGTCGATTTTGAGAAAGAAGGGTCAGAAAAATTTGTCTTAATTTTTTTTATAAAAAGTGAGTTCCCTCATCGAATTAGGGCTTACTCTGCTGTAAATGAAAGAAAAAGTGGGAAATTTTACCGAAAATTTTTACACCAAAAACCAATTTTGAGAAAAAATGGCCAGAAAAAAAATCTATTTTTTAAAAATAAAAAGTGAGTTCCCTCATCACATTATGGCTTAGGAAGCTGTAAATGAAAGAAAAAGTGGGAAATTTCACCTATAATTGTTACGCGAAGAATCGACAGATTTTGAGTAAAAATGGCCAGAAATAACACACTTTGTTTTGCTATAAAAAGGCGAGTTCCCTCATCGCATTAGGGCTTACTCTGCTGTAAATGAAAGAAAAATTGGGAAATTTCACCGAAAAAATTTACACGAAAAACCGACATACTGTATTTTTTTAATTAAAAAGTGAGTTCCCTCATCAGATTAGGGCTTAGGAAGCAGAAAATGAAAGAAAAAGTTGGAAATGTAACCTATAATTTTTACACGAAAAATCGACATACTAGCTTATGTCGATTTTGAGAAAGAAGGGTCAGAAAAAAAGGACTTTTATTTTTTTTGAAAAAAAGTGAGTTCCCTCATCGCATTAGGGCTTACTCTGCTGTAAATGAAAGAAAAAGTGGGAAATTTTACCGAAAATTTTTACACGAAAAACCGACAGATTTTGAGCAAAAATGGCCAGAAATAACACACTTTGTTTTGCTATAAAAAGTGAGTTCCCTCGTCGCATTAGGGCTTAGGAAGCTGTAAATGAAAGAAAAAGTGGGAAATTTTACCGAAAAAATTTACACGAAAAACCGACATACTAACCTATGTCAATTTTGAGAAAAAATGGCCAGAAAAAAATATATTTTTTAAAAATAAAAAGTGAGTTCCCTCATCACATTAGGGCTTAGGAAGCTGTAAATGAAAGAAAAAGTGGGAAATTTAACCTATAATGTTTACGCGAAGAATCGACAGATTTTGAGTAACAAGTAAACCCGTAAAAACAAAGTTTTTCACTATAAATCCTTTATATGCGTGGCGGCTATAGTCCTCTCGTCATCTGGCTTGAGATGGCTGCCACCTATGGGTCAGATGATTGTCTGCCACCATTAAGCAATTGCTAATTAAATATTTAATTTGTTTTCCCTAAACAGTGTCAAATTTTGGAATTTTTTTTCACGAAAATTAATTGTCACACATAACGAGTCTGTGTGGAAAATGTCAGCTCGATTGGATCACGGGAAGTGGGTTAAAAAACGAGCGAAAGATTTGCACGGTCCTAAGCAAGCAAGCGAACTTAATATAAAGGATTTTAAAATATATTCGCCTGTGGAGGACGCGGGGATCGATCCCGCGACCTTTGGCATGGGAAGCGAGGGCGCTACCAACTGCGCTACTCCGCCACGGCCTGTGGAGGGGTTACGCTCTGGGCTCTTACACTGTGACGTTCAGCCAAAGCCATGAATGAGTTCTATTTGAATATATGAAAAATAAAAAAATTTTGCCTATAAAGTGTCAAATTTTGGGAATTTTTTTTCACGAACATTAATTGTCTGGCACAACGAGTCTGTGTGGAAAATGTCAGCTCGATTGGATCACGGGAAGTGGGTTAAAAAACGACCGAAAGATTTGCACGGTCGTAAGCAAGCAAGCACGCAAGCAAGCACGCACGCAAGCAGGCAAGCAAGCGAACTTAATATAAAGGATTTAAAAATGGCCAGAAATAACACACTTTGTTTTGCTATAAAAAGTGAGTTCCCTTGTCGCATTAGGGCTTACTCTGCTGTAAATGAAAAAAAAGTGGGAAATGTCACGTTGCATATGGCATAAAAAATCGACTTCTTAACCTTTGTCGATTGACCAAAAATGTCTGGAAAAATAATCACTATTTTTCTATAGAAAGTAAGTTCCCTCATCGCATTAAGGCATAGTATGCTATAGATGAGAGACAACGTGGGAAATTCGCATTACATTTTTTTGGCCAAATAGAAATCACTTGCTTTTCTCTAACATTATTTCCTTCATAACGCCAGCACACTCACTCCGATGTAGAACCAGGCTACAGTCTACATTGAGTGTTTTTTTCATTTTTACTTTATTTTTATTATTTTTATTCACTTTCTTGTTATATTTTTTCTTCTCTCTACGTGACCTTACCGAAAGAACCAAAGAATAACACTTCAAAGAAGACAAGTGCACGGTGGAGGGGAGTGTACATACAGTCATCTGTATTATAATTAACAAAACAAGAGACACTGCTTCAGGTTTGTTTGAGTACAGCATTGACAAAACGACACGAAGAGGGGAGGGAGAGAGGAGGAGAGAGAGATCGCTGGGAGGAGGAGGAGGAGGAAGAGCGGAACGAGGAGGGGACGTCACGGGAAGAATCCCACAGCTCTCACGCTGGCGAGGGCCGCAATCTCGGCTCGCGTTACACAAACACGACACTGAACGCGCGGAGAATGAGATCGGGGAGAGAGAGAGATAGATATCGCCACGTTCGTCTGCGGCGGCGACGAATTCAACGCGTGACCGAAGCTGATGGAATGAATTACAAATAAAAAAACCAGCACACACTCAACACACACACACTGCTCAAGGTATCCACAAGTACCCACGCTCACACACACACACACGAGCCACGGTATCCACAAGTTACACACGCTCACGGCCACTGCCTGTAACGATGATACCAGTGTATTAAATCACCGCACAAACACCATGGCACCAGGGAGCGTCAATAAGCAGAAGCAGCAGCAGCCGCTGATGGCAGCAGTGGACAGCAGCAGCAGCAGCCCCCACACCTTCAGGGGCTCTGCCACCACCCTGCGCATTGTAACTTCAACGTGAACCCCACGGTATCAGGTAAGCTGGGGCTCGCTAAGGTGTCGGACAGAATCACGGGGGCTGGGAGGGGAGGGTAACACGGCGGCCTCGTGAAGAAGCGAGGATCCAAGCAAGCCCAGGGAGGATTCTCATCGCCGCTCAACACCGGGTGGACGTGTGCCCGCTACCGTCACGGCTAGCAGTGGAGAAGCCTTACACCTGTGCTGCAGCTGGCCTACTGAACGGGGGGGGGGGGTGTAGGGGCAGCGCACGACCCTCTGCCACCTCGGGAAGCGAATCGCGGCTGTCGGGACCCAAGTGACCCCTTTGCGGCGAAGCCGGGCGGCGCGTCATCGCCCCAGTCTCGTCCCCACGGAGCTTTCGTGCAACGGGGGCGGCAGTGGTTTATGTTTTCAACAACGTTCCACTTAAAAAAACATCATCTGCTTTGGATCAAAGTATTCAGTCGAAGGACGACAACGGGTGACTTAATAATAATGACGCGACGATAGGACAGCTTTAAAGGTCGACACAATTTTGATTATAAAGCGGTTGTAATGCCTCGTCAAGGTTTAGAGAATCACAGCAGGACTCACCGCAACCCTCCACATCCACCACGTCGCACGTGGGCCCTTGCGGGGCCACGCCACGGGTCAGGGGTCATGGCAGGGTCAGGGGTCATGCCAGGGTCAGGTCACCCATGGCAGGGCTCGACGCACATCTCCCAGCTCGGCCACAGATCCCGCTCAGAGTCGCTGCTGGTGGCGGCAGCTGGAAGTAGCACGGGACTGCGGATAATTCACAATTAGGCTCGTCATTACTGCAGCTCGGAGAGTCAATATAACCGTAATTAATTAAATTTGCGGCAAAGGTAAACAATTGTTTTTTTTACCAGAAGCAATTTGTCAGAGCAGTTGCAATTTGACCAAAATACAAATAACTATAATTACCAACTTTTATCATTATTCCGAAACATCGGCATTCCTAATTGAGGTCTCTAATTTAATTACGGGACTGCAAATGAGGTTTGCACCAAAACATGTGGGCCGGGTATCGGGACTGGTGAAGGGCGACGCGGTTTTGTTGTTTAAATCCACGCAGCGCTGCGTCTTCACCGCTGCTTTGCAAACGTTTTTTTTTTTCAGCCACCAAACTCCGATCTGAAGCCAACAGCTGACACCAACCGAGCCTCCGGTTTCCATCACGCATCGTTGAATTTTGCACCCACTAATATACCCGACGCACGCAGCGCCACAGCGGCTGTTCCATGGCACGGCGGTCGCCCAATCCAAACACTATCCCGGCTCGATTCCAAGACCATTCCGTGTGAGTTGGGTCACAGACTACGTCGGCGACGGGCAGCGGAGGGCAGCACGGCAACTATCCATTGCTGTACCGTCCGACGACGCGCCAATGTCCGTGCTCCACGCCTTCACCGGACCCACGCGAACCGGCGCGGTGAAGTACGGTCGAATAACCAGCCACGACCCGTGCGGCACGGGGGAGGCCCTCGTTCGGCAATGGACAGATACAAAGATAGGCTTTGCGCGTATTCTCGCAAATACCAAGATTTACCAGCTCCAAAACGGACTCACCGCAGCTCCGCTCCGATCGGCTCCACGCGAATCGGTTACCGGGGTCAGGTGAGGCCGTTCCCCATCTGCCGGCGCCTCGTTTGTGAATATTCGTTTCCTCCGGCGAGCAGAGCCTCCCGACTGCCACCCGACGTCGAGTGCTTGGGGTGCCGACGTGATGGGCCTGTCGGTGGCTGCTGTGATTCGTTATTGGCCGTGGCGTTTTGGCTCGTACGAGCTGTTGTCGCTGGGCGTCACCGCGCGATCACAAACGTAATCACCGGGACTCGAACACCGAGAGCCATCGTAAGCCGAACGAGCCGCAGGTTACAATATGCGTATTGGCTCGGGACATTCAACGACCTTGTCATCAAAGCATCATTTAAAAATCTAAAACTCAAACTCCACTCTTCTAACAATGTACAATAACCTAATAAAGCACTTTGAATTATTTTGAAAAATAAATATGCCATATATATTGTATTATATATAGTATTTATCAACATTTATATAAGTAATTGACAACTGGTTATAATTTACATAAAATACATTCAATCACGGCAAACTCACAGCTTGTTTTTGTGTTTTTTTTGTTCCCCACCGCCCCCCCTCTCTCCACTTTCTTTCATGGGGGTTTGAAAAAAGTGGAATTACAACGAAAATTAATAAATACGTCGGGAAATCTGACCCGAACACTGCAGGGCACAACACACGCACGCACACGCACTCCTCAGCCACACGTACACACACGCACGCACTGCTGAGCCGCACTGCTGAGCCACACGCACGCACACACTACTCAGCCACACGTACACACGCACGTGCACGCACGTGCACGCACGCACACGCAGTCCCATCTCCTGTACCGCCGGGGTGCACAAACTTAGAGCTTTAGGGGGGGGGATGGGGACTGGACGCTCCCCCCCCCGCCCCCCACACCCCACCACTCCCCACAGCTCAGCTCCGCGGGTGCCGCCAGGTCGGGAGGTCACCGGGTCACTTGTTGACGACCAGCGTCTGCACCTGGTTGACGAGTTCGCGCGCGGTCCTGAGCACCACCTGCGCGTCGTGGTGCTCGGCCATTTCTGTTTGTGAAACGAGAGCCAAAAGGGGGGGGGAGCGGGGGGGGAGCACAGACGGCACGCGGAACAGTGGGGGCGGTTACACAGCGGGGGCGGTTGCACAGCGGGGGCGGTTGCACAGCGGGGGCGGTTGCACACCGCCGAGGTGACACACCACGGAGGTGACACACCACTGCGACACGCCGAAGGGTCTGCTACTGCGTGGCTCAACACCGGGTAAGCGTCCGGAAGGGGTCAACCACTGCAGGTTGTATTATTGTTGTTATTGTTGTTATTGTTATTATTGTTAGTGTTGTTATTGTTATGCACGCGGCTGCAGGTGTTGGTAAACAGGCCGTGCGTCTCCAAGACCGAGAATTCACTCTCCTGACAACGTACAGCAACCCAGTAATGCACAGTGGTCGGCAAGCGGACGATCCAAGTGGCCTTGCAACAACTTCGCGTGTCCGGCATGAGCGAGGGGAGCGAGGGCAAGGTGCAGTACCAATCGATGAGTAACCATCATGACCTCTTGACCTTTGAAGAAGGGCCACGATCCAAAACATGAACATTTAGCGTCACAGGGCATCGTTAACAATGCAGACGGTTACCCGCGTACAAATTCGTGCGTGCAGACCACTTCCCTGCGCGACGATCTGCTCAATTATTAATTAGGAGTTTTATTTTTAAGCACGGAGGCCGGGCGAGATGGGTGGTGTGAAGGTGGGGAGGGAGCGATTGGCGGGCGGGGAGCGCACGCGCACCGTTGAAGAACTTGATGATGTCGGTGAAGTCCATGCTGTTGTGCAGGATGATGTCGCGGTACAGCTCCACCATGGCCAGCGCGATGAAGAGCACGAAGTGAGCGGAGGAGACGCGGCGTGCCGCCCAGATCACCTCCCACACGGCGAACACGTCGTCGTACAACAGCTCTGCGCACCGCCACCACCACGGAGAGAGGGAGGGAGGCAGGGTGAGAGGCAGGGAGGAAGCATTAGGTTGCGGGTTACAGAGAAGTGCACGGTTAGCGTTAGCGTGAGCGTTATGCCGAGTGCTTGGGCTATAGGTTAGGGCCTCAGGCTGTAAGTTAGGGTCTAGGTCAGGGGTCAACAGCCTGCGGCTCCGGAGCCGCGTGCGTCTCTTCAAGGACTGATTTCCTGATGTTATTTATTAAGGAACCACCGTCTTGTATTCACCACACAGTGCATTGCGGCTTTTGAAATATTGAGGGTTTCTTTTTTTACCGAATTCGAAAAAAAATGGCTCTTCTTGTTGTTTTGGTTGCCGACCCCTGGGTTAGCGTGAGCATTAGGCCTTGTTCTAGGCCTGTAGGATAGGTCCTCGGACTGTAAATTAGGGTCTAGGGCTAAAGGTTAGAGGTTATAGGTTATGGGTTAGGACTATTGGTTAGGATTTAGGACTAGAGGTTAGGGGTTATGGATATAGGTTATGGGTTACAGCTAAAAATGAGGAGCCTATATGTCAAACTCCTAACCTATCGCCTACAGGTCAGAGGTGAGGGTTAGGCGCTGTGGGTTTGGACGAAGGTTAGGGATTTAAGTCCTGGTTAGGCCTAAATCGGCTCAGGTGCAGAAACGAGGTGGATGGTCAATGAATTGGTGAGAGACAGCGACAGCTTTGGTAGGCCTGGTGATGGCGACAGGGTGAGTGCTCTGAGCGGGGTGAAGCGTGAGGGTGTGAGTGGACCCGCCAGTTGCTCACCGCGTTTGAAGTCGAGCAGGAACCAGCGGTAGCAGAAGTAGAAGTGTGTGTAGTCACCATTCTGCACCATCAGCTCGAACATCTCGGGGTCCAGGATCTGGGAACGATGTCACCACCATCGACCATCACCGCCATCAACATCAACACCACCACAATCAACACATTAACACCACCATCACCACCACTCTCATCATCAACGCCACCTTCACCAAACACTCCCGCCATGAACATCACCGCCACCACGAACATCACCATCACGCCCGCTGCTCCGCACCTGGATGAGGGACCTCATGTTGGCGAAGTGCGTGTCCATGACGCCGCCGTGCGGGAAGTTGAGCGTCATCCTCTTCATCATCTCTGTGAAGCAGCTGTAAGCCAGCGCCTCTGTGTGTGTGCGTGTGTGTACATGGTGTGTGCGTGTGTGTGCATGGTGTGTGCGTGTGTGTGTACATGGTGTGTGCGTGTGTGTGTACATGGTGTGTGCGTGTGTGTGTACATGGTGTGTGCGTGTGTGTACATGGTGTGTGTGTGTGCATGGTGAGTGCATGTGTGTGTACATGGTGTGTGTGTACATGGTGTGTGCGTGTGTGCGCACGCGTCCGTGTGCGCAGAGGGTAGCGGTCGTGCAGTGGTTAGCGTTGCACTGCGCCGAGTTCTATTCCCGCTCACGACCAATAACAGTGGCGAATATATGAACCTGTCCTGAGTCTCCCCTAGGTCGACTCAGCAGTAAATGAACAACTGGTGCGGTGTGTAAAGATCGCCACTGGGGAGACAAAGGTGTCCGGGCGTGGAGCTGGCCAGCAAGCCCTTTGTGTTGCCAAGCCAGCCTTCATAGGCGCTCGCTAATTGCCACTCGGCCCAAACAGTCCGTTACAAGTCAGGGCCGTGGTGCAAACAAGGCGCAATTAAGGCGAAAGGAGATGAGAGAATTGGGCTCAGACCGGTCGTCTTGTTCTTAAGCAACGACAGCAAAGCAGCAAAACTCCAGTATGAGAAATAAGAAGATGTTTTACACCCTTTCTGGCAATAAAACAGGCGTTGTGTTAAGATGTTCAAACACCAAATAGAAACCTTTTGCAAGGAATCAAATACTGCATTAACCGCACAGACAGTACTTGTGGTGACTGCAAACAAACATGCCTCTGGTGGTTCAATCTTAATTTGGAGCTTTCGTGACCGCAGGAATCCATGCTCTTTGGTTCTTTCGGTAAAGTCACATGGGTATAAAATAAAATAAATCACGACGTTTTCTGGGCGCAACACAAGCGTCCGTCATCAGGTGATTGCGCCCAAAACGTCGTAATATATTTTATTTTATACCTACCTGACCAAAGAAGGGGGGCTGGGGGGGGCTCTTCCGATAACCCGGGAGGGGGGGGGGGCGCACAACACAGTCCGTGTCAAAGACACTTGGATCTCAGGATGAGTCACGACACGATCCCCTTCTGCCCTTTGTGCATTCTGCCTCCCGCCCTCGCCCCCACCCTCTGACCCCCCGCCCGTCCCCCAAGGCCCCGGCAGCGGCACAGGGCCGGCGAGCCGCACGTACCGTCGTCCAGGATGACGAGCAGCGGCGCGAGGATGTCGCACATGCCCTGCACGTAGCCCACCTCCAGGTGCTCCCACACGTAGCTGCAGGCGGCACAGCACACGGCAGGGGGGGGGGGAGTGGGGAGCAGTGGGGAGTGGGGGGGGCAGCGGGTCGGTGGGGGGAGCAGGGAGCGGGGTTGGGTTGGGGTCAGCGGCGAGCGGCGTTTCTAACGGCAACAACAAAACACTCGCGGGTGATTTTACTTTTCCCGCCAAGCTGATCCCCCCCAAGCTGATTCCCCCCAGTGACCAAGTCGCCTGACCTCGCCTGACCTCGCCTGACCTCGCCTGACCCTCGGAAGCGAAGCAGGGTCGAGCGTGGACGGCCGAGCGCGTATCTGCGCTACGCGTTGTTGAGCAGAGGGCAGCGCAGCAAAAGCCGCTGTTGTACTGCACTCGTATGCTCCCGGTCCCAGCCCTCACCGCCCCGCAACGAGCAGTGCAGAGGGGTTTGGTGAAAAGACCCCCGTGAGGCCCGCACGGTGTGCAGAGGCCCTCACCCAGCAACGGATCGAGACAAGGGGATGTCCGCGTGCAATCTGTACATTACAATTTGGCCCCGCGGAAGTTGCTATCACTGAACTTCTTCCGAGGTCCATTTAAGTGGCCTCTTGTTATCCGCACGCATACACACGCACGTAACAAAGATCCCCCGTGTAGCCTTAACAGACTGTTGGGACAAGTGCTGTTAGCGAGCACCCATGAAAGCCGGCACGGCGCACGAGGGGGTGTGTGGCCAGCACCCAGTGGCGATGTTTGTACACCGCACCAGGCACTCATTTGACCTATGGGACGCCCAGGACCGGTTCAGACAATGGTCACCGGCGTTGGTGGCCGTGAGCGGGAATCGAACTCGCGTCGCCGGGTTCGCAGCGCAGCGCACCGACCGCTGCGCCGCCGCTCCCCGCCACCGCGAGTGGAAACGTGGGGGGCGCCTGCGGGCCGAGGCGCCCCCCCTCCCCCTGGGGTTGCTGAGCCGGAGGTGGAGGTGCCCCCCCCCTCACCTGCACATGATGTTGCGGAGCTTGTCGAGGTTGGCGGCCGTGAAGTACCAGAAGTTGCGGTCACAGCGCTGCACGTCCTTCTCAATGCGGTGCAGGTTCAGCGCGTACGTGTCCAGCAGCTCCGTCTGCCAGAGGGGTCACGGGGGGTCACGGGGGGTCGACAGATGGATGGACTTTTATAACGAACTCATTCCTTTCGAACTGCTTTTTGTGTTCAGTTTGTTGTCCTTCCTCCGCACCTCCGACTAGCGCGGTTGGCTACGTACAGTGCGAAAGAAGTTCAACATTCCCCGCACATATTGGACGTCTTTGAAAAAGAGCTTCACAGCTCATCGGATTCCTCCAGTCTCGAGAAAGATTCTGATGATGATTCTGACGCACAACTAGCTTAGAGCCCGTTAATAACCAACGCGTTCCGTCGTGTGAACATATCGCAATGCGGACGCGACAACCAAATGGATCGCCGAGCAGTGGGGACGAACGCCACCTTCCATCGCTCGCTCGAGCACAGAGACGCTTAAACGTTTGACTTTTAGTTTTGTTTCTGGTGCCATCCCCCCCGTGACCCAACACCGGGACGAGTCGCCACCGCCACCCGGCGACGCTGCCGTCGATTGGCGCCTCCAGACGCACCGTGCGGGGAGCCTCGGTACGAGCGACGACTGACAAACGACGATGGCGGTGGTGACGATGACGAGCTTGGTCGCGCGGTTCGGCATGGCGACACCGAGGTGGAACCAACCGTGTACGTGGCGCCCGTGGACGACGCCGGTGACACGGCGTCGCACGGCAGCACGCCCGGCGCGTCCAGGTTGTTGGACGTCGAGGCGCCTGTGGCCGGCGCCGGCGCCGCCACGGCCTCTCCTGTCGCCGGCGGCGTCGACGAACCCCCGGCCTCCCCCGCGACCAACTCCACCACGACGACGTCACGGGTGAACGCGTCATCCTGCGGCTCCTCCCGCCCCTCCTCCTCCTCCTCCTCGCCCTGGGACACCTGCCTCTGCAGACGCGGGACCTCGCCGAGGCACCTCGCTCTCTGCTCCTCGCTGCCCGATCCCTCCCGGCCTGCGGCCCGGTTCACGGCGTCGCCGGCCGGGGCCGCGCCCGTCGACGCAAGCTCCTCGGTGTCCTCCGCCGTGGTTTTGTCCGCCGCTGCCGCCAACTCGGAGCCTCCCGCGACGGCCTTTGCCGCCGCGTCGCGCTCCGCCAACGCTTCACCGCTGCCGCCGCCGCTCCCTGCTTCCACCGCACCGACGCCGTCTGCTGCTTCTTCTTCTACCTCTTCGGTCATCGCCTCCATGATGATGTCCTCGATGTCCCTCGACTCGTCCCATCCCTCTACGTTATCGTCGAGGAGCGCGCCGCCGCCGCCGCCGGCGGATTCGCCGCTCGCTCCCCCCGGCGTCTTCGGCGCCGCTTCCTCTCGGTCCGCGCCGGCGCCGTCCCCCGCTCGGAGCGAAGCGTCGCCCCCGTCGGCCGCCTCGGCCTCGCCCGCCGCTTCCACCGCGCTCTCGGCGTCATCGCGAGCAGCCGCCTCCTCCTCCTCCGTCTTCGCTCCTTCGCGCCGCCGTCCGTCCCCGCCGCTCCCCGCGCCGTCGGCACAGTCGGGCGCAGGCTCCTTGTCTTTGTCGGCGGCCGGGTCCCGGCTTCCTCCTCCCCCTCCGCCGCCGCCGCCCTCGGTGCCGTTGTCGTCCAGGCTGAAGCTGCCGGCCGTGGTGCCGCGGGAGGACGACGCGAGCGAGAAGTTGCGCGAGGACGGGAGGCCCGAGTCCGGCGAGTCCGGCACCCGCTTCACGCCCAGCTTCACCGCGCCGCCCGCCTTCGTGCCGGCGGCGGCGGCCGCGGCGGCGGCGGCGTCGCGGCCCGCCGAGCCCTCCACCTCGTCCACCGACTCAAACACCTGCGCGTGCACGTGTGTGTGCGTGCACGTGTGTGTGTGTACGTGTGTGTACGTGTGTGTACGTGTGTGTGTGTGCACGTGTGTGTGTGTGAACATGTGCGTGGGGAGCGGTGGCATAGCAGTTAGCACGCCGCCCTACGAACCCAGCGACCCGAGTTCAATTCCCGTTCTCGGCCAACACTGGGTGACGATTATCTGAACCGGCTCTGAGGCTCCCCTAGGTCGACTCAGCCTCGAACGAGTACCCGGTGCGGCGTGCAAACATCGCCACCGGGGGAGACATAGTGACGGTGGCGCCGGCGGCGTGCACCTCGTTGCTGATGCTCGAGTCGCGGTGGATGAGCTGGCGCACGTGGCTGTCGATGCTGCTGCCGGAGCTGAGCTTGGCCAGGGCGGCGGCGTGCGACTCGCGCTCGCGCTGCCGCACGATCGCCTCGCACGCCAGCCACTCCGCCATCGTGTGCTCGTAGAGCGCGCGCGTCACCTCGTCCGTCTGGGGGGCGGCGGGGGCCGGGGGCGGGGGGTGGGGTCGGGGATTCGAGTTAGAGGGGGAGCAGCGGTGAGAGTAGAAGGGTGAGCAGAGGTGAGAGGGTGGTGGTGAGTGGAGTGATGGATAGTGAGGATACTGGTGAGGATAAGTAGTAAGGGTAACAGTGAGTGTAGTGGTGAGGATGGTGGTGAGGGTAGTGGCGGGGATAGTGGTGATCGTAGCAATGAGTGTAGTGATGAGGGTAGTGGTAAGGATACTGGTGAGGTAGTGATGAGGATAAGTAGTAAGGGTAACAATGCGGGTAGTGGTGGGGGTAGTGGTGGGGGTAGTGGCGGGGATAGTGGTGAGGGTAGCGGTGAGTGTACTGATAAGGGTAATGGTGAGTGTCGTGGTGAGTGTAGTGGTGAGTGTAGTGTTGAGTGTGCTGGTGAGAGTAGCGGTGAGGGCAGCGCCGAACCAAAACCCCTGCGAGCGCCGCCCATCACAGTGGGCACCGCACCTCTCTCCGCTCGCGCTCCGTCATCCCGAACTTGTAGTGGCCGAGCAGGTAGGGCCACACCTGGTGACGCAGGCTGTGGTCCACTCCGCCGTAGTAAACCAGGCGCAGGAGCTCCTCCTCGCTGATGCTCTGTCGAGGGGGTGGTGGTGGTAGCGGGGAAAGAGAGAGGGGGAGGAGAGACGCTGTAGCTGAGTGTGAATGTTTGTTTTCCCATTATTATCCGAACCGGCTTCGTTTTGCCGCGTTCAACCCGGGCAGCCTTGTGCCCCTGACCCCCTCGGCTACAGCTCCCCCACACGGTCAGACCAAAGCCACGGTCGAGCCGGGCTGCCCAGCGCCGCCAACGGCGACGTTCGTGCGCCCCTTGAACCTGCGTGGCGCTCGCGACGCCCGGCACGCCGCTGGCCCGTGCCGGCCGCGACCCTTGGCAGGATCGACGTTAGCGGTACCTTGCTGTCGGACATGTACTGCTGCCATACGAGAGGCGTGAGTCCCTCCCGGGCGCCCGCCGCCGGGATCATGTCGTGGTTGATGAGCGCCGACAGGTGCGTGCGCACCGTGGAAAGGTGGCGGCAGTAGGCCAGCCCTGCGGCACAGGACACGGCAGTCCGGGTCAGCCCGGAGCCGGCGCCGGGGGACGGTGCTCGGTTGCCCGCCGCGCTGATGCAACCGTATTTCACGGCTAGCACGGGTGAGCGCGCGTGAATGACTCTAACGATTGTAATATAATTATAGGAATGATCGCGCAGCATTCGCTCGCAGTGAGCGGGAGGACGACTCAGAGGGGCGCGACGAGGAATCGCAGGGAGGCAGCAGCAGCCGGGCGGTGAGTTGTGGCCCAATTGTTCCCCTCTATGTATTGGCCAACTAATGAGTGTTTACATGTGGGAGGAAACAGGAGCGGCCAGAGAAAACCCACGCGTGTGAGGGGGAAACACTCTATCCCATACAGACGGAACAGGTGGGATCTCATCGAGGGGAGGCAGTTTCAAAACATCTAACAAAGGCGGTGGTCACCGCATCGCGGCGCTTTCAGATGCGCTTTTGCAGCCGTCTGGAATGCTCTTCCTTCCGATATCGGGAAGCCACTGGAGCGATGGAAAACTCATTTCTTTAGAACTGCTTTTTCGTGTTTATTTTGTTGTCCTTCCCCGCACCTCCGAATAGTGCGGTTGGCTACGTACGGTGCGAAAGAAGTTCAACATCCCCGTACATTAATCTGTGCGATGATTCACCAACCCTCGCCTCGACACAGTGCGTGTGTAGCCACTATGTGGCACAGTGTGTAGCCACTATGTGGCACAGTGTGTAGCCACCACGTGGCACAGTGTGTAGCCACCACGTGGCACAGTGTGTAGCCACCACGTGGCACAGTGTGTAGCCACCACGTGGCACAGTGTGTAGCCACCACGTGGCACAGTGTGTAGCCACCACGTGGCACAGTGTGTAGCCACCACGTGGCACAGTGTGTAGCCACCACGTGGCACAGTGTGTAGCCACCACGTGGCACAGTGTGTAGCCACCACGTGGCACAGTGTGTAGCCACCACGTGGCACAGTGTGTAGCCACCACGTGGCACAGTGTGTAGCCACCACGTGGCACAGTGTGTAGCCACCACGTGGCACAGTGTGTAGCCACCACGTGGCACAGTGTGTAGCCACCACGTGGCACAGTGTGTAGCCACCACGTGGCACAGTGTGTAGCCACCACGTGGCACAGTGTGTAGCCACAACGTGGCACAGCGTGTAGCCACTAGTGCCCAGAGATATCTAAGAACTTCCTTGAGGAAGCCAGTTGTGGGGGGGACCGTACGTGCGTGCGTGTGTGAATGCGTGTGTGAATGCGTGTATGTGTGTGCGTGTGCGTGCATGCGTGTGCGTGTGTGCGCGTGCATGCGTGTGTGTGTGCGTGTGTGTGTGTGCGTGCGCGTGCGTGAATGCGTGTCTGTGTGTGTGTGCGTGTGTGTGTGCGTGCTTTCCGGGTGACGACTTGGTCACTTGGTGCCGCCACACTCACATCCGTAGAACGCCCGCGAGAGGATCTGCCTCTTCATGGTCTCGCACAGCAGCTTCAGCGGGGCCCTGCGGGGCGGCACGGGCAGGACGCGCACGTCACGCAGTGGCCGCGACAACAATTTTACTCTACGGGAAATTTGCCTCGATAATCCCACGATCAGCGTCATCCTCCAGAGAATGCTAAACCGAGTTTAGCGCAGAACCAAGTTTAAATGTAATAAATAAATAAATACACACTCCTTGCCCCATCCCCCGCACCTCCGATGAGCAACGGTTGGCCATCGCACGGTGCAAAAGACGTTCAACGTGCATACAGACAGACATGGTGCGTGCGTCAACAATAACCACACGGTCGGTGATGTTTCGCGCAATGGCCCTTCTTTACAGCACATAATATATTAATTATTTTGAGATTCGCATGCTCTGAAAAAGGGCGACCACCCGAAACGTCGCCCATTACACATTCTTCCTTTAAAGGCCACCGCGCCGCGTTATTGACGAGCGTGCCGAGTTTTTGCGTTTGTTAATTTCGTCCGATCGCAGTTGGGCGGCTGAAACCCGGCCTCGGCGGTGCCAGCTCAGCACTCTGACCTTTGACTCCCTCGCGCGGCAGCCCCTCTGCCCACGAGATATGATTGAACGGCAGTAAGCGTTCGTTGGACGGCAGATACATTGGTTCATCCCGGAGTGACCCGCCCCGAGGCACCTGTCGTGAGCGCAGGTGATGAGCGAGGAGGAGCGAGCGTCGGGGGGAGTGGCGGCCGGAGAACACGAACACGACCCCCGCCGAGTCGACCCCTCCAGTTGCCACGACAACACGGCCTGCATGCCGCCCCCCTGCAGCTCCAGGAGGTCAGGGGGCACTGTTGGTGGAGTGGTGGGGGGGGGGGGCGTGATGGGGGTGGATGCGAGAGTAGGGAGTTGGCGGTGGGTGGAAAAGCGTCGTGAAGGCTGGAATTCAATCGGCTGTTGTGTCAGCCACGCGACCGTGGTGTGTGTACGCTTGTGCACATGATTGTGTCTAGCGCAGTGTGTAAACATCAGCGCTGGGGAGACAAAGGCGGCCGGGCGTGGTGCTGGCCACACTACGGCTCCATGCACCATGCCAGCCTTCGTAGGTGCTCGTGAACTGCACTTTCCCAACTGCCTGTGGAAGGCTATTTGGGGGACCTTTCTCTGTGTATGTGTGTGTGCGTGCGTGAGTGCGCGCGTGCCGTTCTCGCTGCGCATGCTCGGGTAGGTGATGCGGAAGACGTAGTCCGTGGCCTCGTCCTCGCCTTCCCCGTCGGGCGGGCGGCCGCGGCACGATCGCCGCTTCAGCTTGGGGAACACCTTGCCCTGCGGGGGGGGGGGGCGGGGGGGGGGGGGGGGCGACGCTCGTTAGCCGCACGAGCAATCGCATCCAAGCAACGACATCCGAGCAGTTCACCTACGGAGCTCCCGACCCGCCGGGCGGCTGCGAGGTGGCCAGCGAACGGCCATACCGCCCATGAGTCTGTGGGCGCAGATCCTAAGGGTGCTGTCATCCCCTCGTACGCCTGCTGGATATTCTCCCGGGTACTTCTGATTTTCCCCCACCCCCCCCCCCCCCCCCCACGTGGAGCAGAATTTCCAACGTTGCCACGATTCGTGCAACCGTTCCCACGTAGCAAACGCCATTCCTAGATTCGTTATCCACTTTATTCACACCCCAGAAAAATACGAGCACATCGCTCTCCCAATGTGCCGGGCCGGTCCCTAACACCGCCACCACCACCACCTTTGACCTTGGCGCGATTCATTCTACCACCTAAGCGGCAACATACCGCGGCCACGCACGAGTACCGGGCTCCTCTAACCCCCTGAGCTCGTTCACCGCACGGGGCGGGGGTGGCGGGGTCACCAGGCAATCGCAGGACATCTCAGCAGAAACGCCCTGGGGAAGGAACGTGGGAGCGCAGCGTGCGGGCACCTTGCCACGCTGCGACCAGAGCGGCGGGTCGAGTTGACCGCGGGGCAGAAGGCCGTTCTCCATGCACGAGAGGAAGGCCAGGAGGTGGCCGCCCTGCGGGAAGTGCAGCGGGGGTCTCTGCACGCCGTCCTGGCTCACCAGCACCACCGTGCCGCCGTTGTCGGCTGCGGTCCGGGCCCCGGCGCACAGGAGATGGGGGGGATGCGGGGGGGGGGGACAGGGGTGTCAGAGAATGTCAACGTGGGGGGGCAGGGGGGGTGAGCGGGTGTCCTGGAAGGCCACTGCTGGGGCTACCCGTGCCCAGGTGATTCAATGAATTGTCAAGATTTGGGGTTTGCGATTAGATTTCAGGAATTGGTCCTCGTCGCAAACGTCTCGTTGGCATGTTCCGTTACCTTCTGTTTCTGTCTTGTTAGGTCCGTTAGCCAGTAGGCAACCTCTGCCAGCGGGTGTTCGACACTTCACGTGGCCTTAAAGTGTACATAGCCTGGCACAAGCGCCATGGTTACGTCACCGCCACTTAGTGGCGAATGGCGGTTGTTGTTGTTGTTGTGGGTGCGTGTGTGCATCCACCTCCAGGTAGTGTCGCGGTTAGCGCTACGCTGCGCTACGAACCTGGCGACCCGGATTTGATTCCCGCTAACGGCCAACACCGGTGATGATTATCTAAACCGGACGTGGGCCTTCTCTAGGTATACTCAGCCTAAAATTAGTACCTCGTGTGATGTGTAAGCATCGCCACTGGGGAGACAAAGGCGCCCGGGCATGGTGCTAGCCACCCACCCCCTCGTGTGCCGTTCCAGCCTTCATAGGTTTTCGCAAACAGCACTTGCCCCTACAGTCTGCTAAAGACTATGCGGGAGATCTTTATCTTGGTGTTTTCTGCACCTTGGTGCTCACGCTCACCAGCTGAGATGAACATTCACAACAGACATCAGCTGCGCTCTCTGGGAGCAAGTCTCAGCGAACGGGGTCAAGAGGAAGCAGAGCGCGAACACGTAGTGACACCTCGTCACACGGCTGCCTCCACAAGCGACGGCCCACACTATTTGCCGTGGGACGGGAGAAGGGTGCCGCTCGTGTGGGTACGTCACCGTGTGTGTAGGTCCCTGTACACTCGCGCGAGTACTCACGCTGCTGGTGGCAGTGCAGATACACGATATCCTCCATGTGAACGGTGATGGCATAGTCCCAGTACACACTGCGCACGCACACAGAGACAAAGATCCCACGTAGAGTCTCAACAGCGAGCAGCTATGAAGGCCGGCACGGCACGCGAGGGGGTCGCCGGCCAGCACCACGCCCGTTCTGCCTTTGTATCCCCAGTGGCGATGTTACACACCGTACCAGGTTCCCACTTGAGGCTGAGTCGACCTCGGGCAGCCCCAGGACCGGTTCAGATAATGGCCACCGGTGTTGGACGGGAGCGGGAATCAAACTCGGGTGGCCGGGTTCGTAGCGCGGCTCGCTAACCGCTGGGCCACCGCTCTCCACACGCAAACGGCCGCAGAGGTCACAGAGTGACCTCCTGCTGCTCAAACGAGCGCTGACGCATCGGTGCTCATCCCCTGCTTAAAGCCCTGCAAAGTCAGTGGTGGAAATTCCACATTACCATGACGGGGTTTAGTCTACCCATACGACAACCACCGTTGACGACGCCACAAAGGGGTGGTTATTTTATCGACCCTGGAGAGAAGAATGATCGGTTGAATCAACCCCTCCAGTCGGGATGTGCGACCGTCCGATTGCGAGCCGCTCACTTCATTCCTCGTGGGGTGGGGGCTGAAACGAATTTTTTTCTATATAATTAAAACAAAAACTTGTAGCGACCAAAGTATTGATTTGCATGTTACAATTTCAATTAACGTCCGAAGACGAGAGAGCTCAAGGTTGTGGCGAGCCGGGAGGTGGCCGGACGCGTCCAAGCGCACGGGCTGCCCGGGTCGCGGCCAGCCACGTCGGCCTTCAGGGGGCTCCGCTGGGTAGGCCGCGCCCGGACGCCACGAGCCCGTCAGTCGCTCTGGCGGGGCCTGTGCCCTCTTAGCCCGAGCCACCTACGACGACGTCGTCGACAACAACAACAACATCGGCGTCGTCGTCGTTAACAACACGGGCACAAGCAAGCGCAAGCAGGAAGCACAATCACACACAACACGTGGGAGACGGCACAACCGGGCAGCTGACATCCGTAATCCAGGCAGACACGAAGTTCATTGTCAGCCAGGAGACAGTTCACCTTGTGACCCGAACGAGACGGAGCAGTCCCACAAACAACACAGTGCGTGGTGGGACTCGGTGAGGCTTTCCTGGATCAATAATTTACGTTGGGATGTTGGGTGCAATTGTCTTTTCAAGGAAATCAGAGTTCCCCAGAGGAACCCGACACACACGCGCACACACACGGGGGTACAACCCTTGGTGGCTAACGGTGGTATGTTAGTAAACCGGCACTCTGTAAAGCCACCTCCTGGCCATCTCGCAGCTCAGCGGAGTCTAGGAGTCTCACAAATCTCTACGTGATCCACCTACCCTCGTCTCGCCACCACCCCCCCCCCCCCTCCTCAAGTACGGTCCTGGAATCAGGCCGCCGCGCGTTCGGCCCGACTCGAAAATCAAAGCCGAGCGAGCGCCGGTGGCCCCGACTCCAGCGCCGACCCCGGCCAGGTCAGCGGCGCGCGGCGGTGAAATCCGAGCCGGCACAGGGCCCGAGCTCCCGTGGGCAGCGGCCACCCCCCCCCTCCCCCTTCGGCCCCAGCGCCGCCGTGTAAAGTAGAAAATTCATCACCGCCGAGCATCGACCCGCACGCGCCAACGCCGACCCTTGAAGGTCACCGCTGACGCAGGCGTCCCCACCGCCACGGGATTGGGGTGCGGGTGAAGAAGGGGGAAATGGCATCAAACGGAATCCCGGCCCCGTGCAAGAGCCGGTCAAATTAACACGAAATTTACTCCGCAGGGGATCGAGCGAACGTCCCGCGAACCAGGGCCGTCCCAGGAAACCCACAGAGACGAGGGGAAGCCCTGGGAGGGGGTGGAGGGGGACGAGAGCGGCCACGGGAACGCGCGATGAGGAGGGGGTCTCACAGGCAGCGTGAGCCCTGGGGGGTCCGTGGAAGCGAAGTCGCCCCCGAGTCCCCGCAAACTCCCCCCCCCGCCTCCCTAACGAGGCCAGTGAACTCGTTAACTCAGGCTGAGGTCATCCCGGCACCCATTAAGGCATCGCTATTCAATTTGTTGACCTTTGTGCTACCGGGTGGAAGTGCGCTGGGAACCAATAATCAGGGCCTCATTGCTCACTGATTTTTTTTTTCGGGCCGTTGGTAGACAGCAGTGGGTATGTGACGAGTAGACACAGCCACAGCGATGGGATATACTCATGGAATTAAGTCCTGCTTACAAACGATGATGATTATGATGGTATCCCTTATTACTCCAAGAAAGCCTCACAAACTCATTCCTTGTTAAGGGAGTCATCATTGTCATGTTTGGCCCAATTACTTTTTCCAAAACGCATTCATGTGACTGTGGGAGAAAAGCGGAGGGACTGGTGGCAAGAACTCGAGGGAGATCCGGTGAATGCGCTCACAAGACGGTCCCACGGCAACAGGGGCACGTATCGCGAGGGCACACTACCTCCTCGCTCGCTCGACCATTTTTGTCGTTAATACGGCCATTTACGGCAGGGGGCTTAATTAAATTCCCACGAGCAGGAATGCGAATGGCCATCAAGGACGCTGACGCCGACGCTCGTCACCACCATCGAGGCAACGTCCTGCCGCCCCCCCCCATCCCGGGTGACAGCATGGGTTGGGGGGGGGGGCACGGGTGCATCGTCATCACCGACAACGCTACGGCCTGGGGTGGCGACGTTAAATTTCGTCGCCACGCAGCCGCAAGTTGCCGCGTGCCGATCAAGAGTTGGGAGGCCCTCGGTAGTGACGGAAGTGGCTGAGCGCCCCTCCAGCATCCGATTAGTATGGCCAAGATGCTTGCGGTCATGGATAAATATGATTTGTAGGCCATTTCGAGGCGGTAGGCTGCACGTGGTACACATCTGCCAATATTACTAATTTAAGTGTTCTTTCATTGCAAGGCCCGTGGGCCACTGCCGGTCCCAGGTGCCCTTTCATGCGGCCCCCGACAATAAACAAAGAGTGAAAACCCAATGGTGTTTCAAATGTGTGGCGGCCCTCACACTGATGATGTCTTATTGGCGAAAGTGGCCGCCCTCTGAAAGATTAGTGAAGAACACTGACTTAAGCGGTCGGCTGACGATGTTGAAATTGTTCGACTGCAAACCCAATTTCAAAGTGAATCGCACCACTTGACGGAATTTGTTGAGAGTACATTATTTTTCTCCCACTCAACAGTTGCGGTGAAGGGTTTGCAAATCGCTGAAATTGGTCAGGTTCGAGATAAGTAACCGAAACACAAAGTTCCGCCGGGTCAAACGCATTCCCCTCTGGAACCCGGTCGGTGCGTCCCACACGCTTGGGCCGCGACGGGCCGCAGTCAGCCGCGGGATCGCACCCAGCCCTGCGGGCCGGGCCGCGGCCTCCCGGGCCCCGTTCCGAGTGAAGAAATCGAACCCTCTGTCCCCCCACCCCCCCCTCCCCGACAACGAAGGAGCGTCAGGGCCAGACTGGCGTACTCACAGTTTCTGGCAAGGGCTCTTGTCCAGCGACACGCTCCCGGGGGGACCCACGGCGGGGCTGCGAGCGAACGAGCGGTGCCGCCGCCGCCGCCGCAGGATGGAAAACACGGCGCGGAACGGAGCGTGCGGCACGCGGCATGCACGCCACGACGCAGCATGCACGACATGAGGGGGCGGGGGGGCGAGAAGAGCGAGAAGGTGAGAGAGGCGACGGGGCAAGGGGACCCCCCGCTCGCGGGGCGCACGCGGACTCGTAGACACGCGCCCGCTTCCACACAAAGGCAAAGATCCCCCGGTCCCCGTGGAGCCTGCAACGGGCTGTGTGGGCAAGTGCTGTTAGCGAGCGCATATTAAAGCTGGCACGGCGCACGACGAGGTGGTGTCGATCGCACCACGCACGGCCGCTTTCGTCTCGACCAGTGCTGATGTTTACATGGTCACAGCAGGTGCTCATTTTAGGCCGAGTCAACCCAGGTGAGGCCCAGGACAGATTTAGATGTTTGTCACTGATGTTAGCCGTAGCCGGTAGCTCCTTGCAGGTCGGCAGGTTCATTGCGCAGTGCGCTCACCGCTACGTCGCCGCCGCCGCTGCTGCGCACGCACACACACACACACCTCTCCTCCACTCTCACGCCCCAGGGACTCCCCCACCCCCCCACCACTTCGTCTCCGTCCCCCACGCCCCTCCCAGCTCTCTCACCCCCCTCCAGCAGCGAGCGGTCGTGCATCACAATGGCAGCCAGCAGACACGGCCACGGAACGACCGCCCGAGGGGCCGGCCGGCCGTCAGCTTCGGAGCGGACCACGGGACGAGCGCACGGGCGAGGCGCTCCTGGAGCCGGGCCACTTCCACGCTCGGCTCAACTTGAAAAAAATCCCCGCTTCGATCGGCCGGCAAGGCCATTCAGGCAGAGTGCGGTGCGCGACACGGCGGCTGATTTCCGGGAACGGTACCGGAGTGTTCTAGATTTGAAGTTTTCGTGACTGCAAGGATTCATACTCTTTGGTTTTTCGGTAAAGTCACGTAGGTTAAATTTATTTAACATTTTTTACCTACGTGACTTTACCGAAAAAACCAAAAAGTAGGTACCGGAGAGACTGCATGAGCCGGGATGAAAGGGACGGAGGGAGGGAGGTAGGGAGGGATGAAAGGGAAGGAGGGAGGGTGGGAGGGATGAAAGGGAGGGAGGGGCGGCCCTCCCCCTCCGTGCCAGCACTTCGCCACGCCAATTCGCGCCACCAGGCGATGGGTAGCCTCGGGCTCCGTTACTCGGCTACAAGAGAGATGGGTGGCGAGAAGTCTCTTGCCGCCAGTCGCCCGCTCGCCCTGTCGACCTCGGGGCGGGGGGAGGGGGCTGTGAATGACTCAGGCAGAGGGAATGACTCAGGCAGAGGGAATTACTCAGGCAGAAGGAATGACTCAGGCAGAGGGAATTACTCAGGCAGAAGGAATGACTCAGGCAGAGGGAATGACTCAGGCAGAGGGAATGACTCAGGCAGACGGAATGACTCAGGCAGAGGGAATGACTCAGGCAGAAGGAATGACTCAGGCAGAAGGAATGTCTCAGGCAGAGGGAATGACTCAGGCAGACGGAATGACTCAGGCAGAAGGAATGACTCAGGCAGAGGGAATGACTCAGGCAGAGGGAATGACTCAGGCAGACGGAATGACTCAGGCAGACGGAATGACTCAGGCAGAAGGAATGACTCAGGCAAAAGGAATGACTCAGGCAGACGGAATGACTCAGGCAGAGGGAATGACTCAGGCAGAAGGAATGACTCAGGCAGACGGAATGACTCAGGCAGACGGAATGACTCAGGCAGAAGGAATGACTCAGGCAGAAGGAATGACTCAGGCAGAAGGAATGACTCAGGCAGACAGAATGACTCAGGCAGAAGGAATGACTCAGGCAGAAGGAATGACTCAGGCAGAAGGAATGACTCAGGCAGAGGGAATGACTCAGGCAGACGGTCTTGCCGTGTTGCCGCCCCCGCCGGCAATGACTGCACATCTTCGATTCCCGCATCGCAGGTCAAAGGGCACGTCCCCCTCGTTGGAGCGAGACCGCAGTTTTTTATTTTATTTTGACCTATTTTTTTTTTTCGGAGCCGAAACCAACGGAGGCTTCATCTGCGAGGACAGCGGCGCGGACGCGCGTGGGAGAACCACACGGGGAGCGGATGACTCGGAGTAAGGCGACGACCGCCCAGAGCCGGGCATTGTGCGTGCAACGGGACGGTGATGGGGCAGTGGGCTGTGGGGGGATAGGAGATTCAGTTCACCACGTCGGCTTTCACGACCAATCCCTTACTCGCTGGCCGTGTCGGGTGGTGGAAGGTTACGACGCATTCATACTTACGCGATCTCACCCAGAAACCTTTATCGTAGGGACAGCACATGTTTGCGAGACGGGAAGGGAAGGGCAGAACTCAGCTCCTCACCTCTTTTCGAGCTCCCCGTCTCCCAGCGAGCCGTTCATCAGCTGGTTGGGCGTCCACTTGAGGGTGAGGTTCTCCGCCGTTTGGTGAAGGGACAGGTAGCCCGGGATCACCTCGGTGTCCTCCTTCTGCACACCGCCACGGCACAGCACCGGCAACATCCACCGCTACCGACGTCTCCACCGTTCGTCACCGGAGCGCTACCGGAGCGCTCGCTCGTCTACACCGACGCCGCCGAAACGTCACCTCTGCTGGCGACGTCGCCGCCATCACGCGTGTCGGCATCGCGAAGACTTCATCGCCGTCACCGCACTCCGGATACGCGGAAGCACGTGCGTGCGTGTGTGGGTGTGTGTGTTTGGGTGCGTGTGTGTATGAGTGCGTGTGTGTGGGTGCGTGTGTGTGGGTGCGTGTGTATGGGAGCGTGTGTGTGTGGGTGCGTGTGTGTGGGTGCGTGTGTGTGTGTATTGGCACACCCAGGCAAGCGTTCCGGCTTCTCGCTAACAGCACTTGCCCCAACAGTCTATTGCAGGCTATATGGGGGAACTTTGCCTTTGCTTTTTGTCCCCCCCCCGCACGTACGGGCTGCACGAGGACGTTGTTCTTGCCGTAGAGGAGGGTCGCGCGCGAGTTCTGGTGGAGCGACTCGACGTAGTCCCGTGCCGACAGCAGCGTGGCGCGCTCGTCCGACACGCTGCCGCTCGAGTGCCGCTTGCGGATTTGCTGCGGGCGGGGGGGGGGGGGCGTGAAACGCGGGGTGGTGGTGGGGGGGGTGCGGTGAATACACACGCAGCGCGCACACACAGCGCCCACTCGCAGCGCCCACACGCAGCGCCCACTCGCAGCGCACACACGCAGCGCACACACGCAGCGCACACACGCAGCACCCACTCGCACCGCACGCACGCAGCGCACGCACGCAGCGCACACGCAGCGCCCACTCGCAGCGTACGCACGCAGCGCACACACACAGCGCACACGCAGCGCCCACACGCAGCGTGCGCGTGTGGATAGCCACCGCGGCGCTGCAGCTGATCTCTTACAGCGCGTCGTGACCTGAGCTCAATCGCCAGAGCCAGGATATTTTACTCATCCTAGAGGAATCCGATGAGCTACGAAGCTCTTTCACGGATGTCCACTCGCGATGCACAACCGCTAAGATTAAACAAAGGCCTCCCTCTTCCCCTCTGCATGCCCCCCCCCCTCCCCCAATAGGGGCAGCACACTGGGGTGGCTAGTAAAGCATGAAAGAGGTCATCATGGCCGCACCAATAGATTCAAGGATCCATTGCTGCACTTCCAATCTCCGTGGTTACCCCTCCCCTCCGCGTCTCCCTCTTCACCGCGACGCCCGGTGCCGGGCCGGCGCGGGCAGGTCGGTGCGGGGGGGGCGGGGGGGGGCGGGGGTGGGCGGTGGGGGGCGGTGGGGGGGCGGTGGCGGCGCCCCTCACCTCGGTGAGGCTGATGTTGAGCGCCGGGCGCTTGGAGGGCGACTCGGCGCGGCTGTGCCCGCTGTGGATGCGGTGCCTCTGCACGAGCTCGTCAGCCGACGGGTCCGTCCAGAAGTGGTCGGCGGTCTTCATCTTGGTGTACTCGAGCGCGCACGGCCCCACTGCGCAGGTGGGGGGGGGGGGGGGGGGAGGGGACGACACGGCGGGTCCAGGCGGTGCCGTCACGTCGCGGAACGACGATCGATCGAGGCTCGAATTTACGCGGCGCCCAAAAAACGCGAGCAGGAGGAGGAGGGTGGGATTTCGTTGGCGGCCGTGCGTGCACGAGCGACGAACTTCTTTCGCACCGTACGTAGCCGGCCGTGCTAATCGGAGGTGCGGGGGGGGGAAGGACAACAAACTGACACGCACAACATATGTGCATTTGTGCACGGGCTTGCACACGCGATAAGCGTACAAACGTGAGGGCCCGTTGCGCGCGTGTGTGCTCTCGTACTTGTGCGTGTGTGCGTGCGTGCGTGCGTGTGTGCATGTGCATGTGTGCGTATGCGTGCGTGCGTGCGTGTCACCGAGCAGCGAGGCGAGGATGGCTCCGTCAACAGGGTCCATGAGCAGCGCCTCCTTCTCGTAGTACTTGCTGTGGGTTCACGCACAGCGGTCACGGCGCAGTCGGGGAGAACGGGGAGAGAGCGCAGGGAGGGGGGGGGGAAAGAGAGGGAGGGTGAGAAAGAGGGGCCAGAGAGAAAGAGAGAGCGAGAGAGAGCGAGCGAAAGTGAGATTGAGAGAGTGAGAGAGCATGGGAGAGCAAGAGAGCGAGGAAAGTGAGATTGAGAGGGTGAGAGATTTAACGCGGTTAGGAAGCGGTTCGGGTGATGGGTCCCGTGAGGACTGGCGATGGGTCACTAGCAGCAGCCGGAGGCTAAAGAGTGAAAATCGATTTCATAATTGCCTTATTATTTCTCCCTCTCCCCCCCCCCCTTAACCAATGAAGTGACACGGCACGGCCGGATAATTAACCGAGCGGCTGACAAATGAGCGGGGTGGGATTTTTGTAATAAAAGGAGCGGAGTCCACGAGCGCGGCGGTCGTTCGCTCCCCCAGAGCCTCGTGACGCAGACGGCGCCACGGGCGGGGGATGCGCAAAGAGATCTCCGTAGAATTGAATCGCGGTCAATTTCAACTAAAACTATAAAATAAAATAAAGTGTTTTATTTTGCCAGGCAGGGCCCACTGAGCTATGATAATAGGGGACTGTGCTATGGTGAGTTGCTGGTACGTGCAGAGCCGGAAGTCCTGTTCAGACATCGCTTTCCACCGAGATTAGCGGTGGCCGAGATTCCAACTCACGTGGGCAGGTTAATAGCGCAGTGGGATCACCACAGCAATTAAACGAAAAGATTGGACGATTTTTTTTCGTGGCCTTTTTTAAGAAGCGACCAGGCTATCACAAGTGATGGCCCAACGAAGTGGATTATCATCATCATCATCACCACGTGGAAATCCTATAGCAGCCAAACACTCAAAACACGTGGATGTTGATTCTAAATGTGGACATCGGTCACACAAAAAACAACCGATCCTCTCATTCAATCTTGATTTGAAGCTTTCGTGACTGCAGGAATCCATACTCTTAGAAAAAAAAAAAGTCTAACTATGCGACTTTACCGAAAGAACCAAAGAGTATGGATCCTCTCATTTGTCAACGACGATGATCTCTCCTCCCCTCCACCCCTCCACCCGAGCGGGTCTCACCACGCGTTGTCCACCAGGTACTGCGCGATCTTGTCCAGCACGCACTCGAACAGCGCCGTGCGCACCCACACGTGCTTCAGCGTCGTCGGGGAGAGGCCCCCCCCGCCGCCCTTGCCGAGCCCCCCTCCCTTCTTCGAGCTGTCCTGGCTCAGGGACTGGTGGCCTCTCCTGCGCACGTTCACGTGGGCACGCAAGCACGCGGGCGGCGCGCGCTTAGACGAGCGGAAGACGAAACGATTGGGGGGGGGGGGGTGCGGGGGGGGGGGGGTCGACGGGCACCCTCCTGGCGTCCCTGACGAGGCTTTGGAGAAGGGGTGGGGAAGCTTTTTTCTGCCAAGGGCCATTTGGATATTTATAACATGATTCGCGGGCCATACAACATTATCAACTTCAAAATTAGCCTGTTATATTTGGTCAAACGTTTAATTAACTCGCCCCTAATTTGATGGCTGGAACCGCTTCTCTTTGGCGAGGCGTGTGATGATGTTAGCTGGTGTTGATGATGTTGCTACTCGCAACTGCTTTTCCAGGCTTGCTCCTAGATGTATTGAATTTCGAGTCCCGCCTGCGGTTGCCTTGGCAGGGCCACACCAAATGATTTTGCGGGCCTCGTGCGGCCCGCAGGCCGGACGTTCCCCACCCCTGCTTTGGAGGAAAGGGTTAGCGGGTCACGCAGAGAAAGGGGTTGGGGGGGGCGACTATTTCCTCATCGTGTGGTGGGGGGCAGCGTCACATTTCAAAGAAGCTCGCTTCATTTCCACAACCGCAAGAAATCCCCCCTCTAGTACCGGCCTAGTGTGGCCCAGAGATGCTTTGCGGTGGTGGGATGCACGTTGCACTTCTTTCGCACCGTACGTAGCCAACCGTGCTCAGCGGAGGTGCGGGGGAAAGGCCCCGAGAGGCCGCAGCTTCCCGGCTCACAAACTCACGGCCCCGCCGGGCTGCGAGGTGGCCAAGCAGCACAGCAAGCGTCACGTGAACCCTCACAGCGAGTGTCACGTGAACCCCCACAGCGTCACGTGAACCCTCACAGCGTCACGTGAACCCCCACAGCAAGCAGCGTCACGTGAACCCTCACAGCGAGTGTCACGTGAACCCCCACAGCAAGCAGCGTCACGTGAACCCTCACAGCAAGCAGCACGTGAACCCTCAAAGCAAGTGTCACGTGAACCCCCCCGCAGCAAGCAGCGTCACGTGAACCCTCACAGCGAGTGTCTTGTGAACCCCCACAGCAAGCAGCGTCACGTGAACCCTCACAGCAAGCAGCACGTGAACCCTCACAGCAAGTGTCACGTGAACCCTCACAGCAAGCAGCGTCACGTGAACCCTCACAGCGAGTGTCACGTGAACCCCCACAGCAAGCAGCGTCACGTGAACCCTCACAGCAAGTGTCATGTGAACCCTCACAGTAAGCAGCGGCACGTGAACCCTCACAGCGAGTGTCACATGAACCCTCACAGCGAGTGTCACGTGAACCCCCACAGCAAGCAGCGTCACGTGAACCCTCACAGCGAGTGTCACGTGAACCCCCACAGCAAGCAGCGTCACGTGAACCCTCACAGCAAGCAGCACGTGAACCCTCACAGCAAGTGTCACGTGAACCCCCACAGCAAGCAGCGTCACGTGAACCCTCACAGCGAGTGTCACGTGAACCCCCACAGCAAGCAGCGTCACGTGAACCCTCACAGCAAGCAGCACGTGAACCCTCACAGCAAGTGTCATGTGAACCCTCACAGCAAGCAGCGGCACGTGAACCCTCACAGCGAGTGTCACATGAACCCTCACAGCAAGTGTCATGTGAACCCCCACAGCAAGCAGCGTCACGTGAACCCTCACAGCGAGTGTCACATGAACCCTCACAGCGAGTGTCACGTGAACCCCCACAGCAAGCAGCGTCACGTGAACCCTCACAGCGAGTGTCACGTGAACCCCCACAGCAAGCAGCGTCACGTGAACCCTCACAGCAAGCAGCACGTGAACCCTCACAGCAAGTGTCACGTGAACCCCCACAGCAAGCAGCGTCACGTGAACCCTCACAGCGAGTGTCACGTGAACCCCCACAGCAAGCAGCGTCACGTGAACCCTCACAGCAAGCAGCACGTGAACCCTCACAGCAAGTGTCACGTGAACCCTCACAGCAAGCAGCGTCACGTGAACCCTCACAGCGAGTGTCACGTGAACCCCCACAGCAAGCAGCGTCACGTGAACCCTCACAGCAAGCAGCACGTGAACCCTCACAGCAAGTGTCATGTGAACCCTCACAGCAAGCAGCGACACGTGAACCCTCACAGCGAGTGTCACATGAACCCTCACAGCAAGTGTCATGTGAACCCCCACAGCAAGCAGTGTCACGTGAACCCTCACAGCGAGTGTCACATGAACCCTCACAGCAAGTGTCATGTGAACCCTCACAGCAAGTGTTACGTGAACCCTCACAGCGAGTGTCACGTGAACCCTCACAACGAGTGTCACGTGAACCCCCACAGCAAGCAGCGTCACGTGAACCCCCAGGGCCTCCTCCTGAAAGAAGGGTGTTGAGACTCAGTGAGGCTTTCCACGGCAAACAAAGTACTTGTACACGATCATTTTCGTTATGGTTGAATCTGGATATGAGCACACCGCTCGAGAGCAGGGCCAGGTGTGATTATATCCCGAGTGTGCTTGTATCAGAAGTTGTCCGTTGCCTTCCCGCCACCACTGTACACTAAGCACGTGTTGCTTAAATCAGAACGGTGCTTCAACAAGATGTGCTTATATCCATTATTCTCGAAGGAGGCCCATCGAGAACGCCGGCTGGCAGAGCCGGAGCGAAGGCAGACGGCAACTCACGCGCCCATCACGACGGCTGGGAGAGGGCGCCCACCTGGTTACCGGTACCCACGGTGACGGCCGCTAGGCCCACGGGGACAGCCGGCATAACCGCGGGACACCTTGCTCGCATAGCCCACCGTGATGGCTGGGAAGGGGTGCCCACCTGGTTACCAGTACCCACAGGACAGCCGGTACCCACGTCGCACCCGTGGCTGCGATGCCGCACCCGCACCTGTCGTTTCGCGACTCCACCTCGTGCACCTTGCGGCACAGTTCGGCCGCCGGCGGAAAGACCTTGCCCAGCTTGGTGAAGAGCGCCGCCGTCTTGTCGCTGCGCAGGAAGCCGGCGGCGCGGCGGCGCAAGCCGTGCAGGAGGCAGCCCTCCACCGCGCCTGGGCGTCGCGAGGAGGGGGGGCACACGGGTTAAGGGGTCAAGGGGCCGGGGGCGGGGCATACGGGGCGTAAACCAAAGGGGGGCGGCCGGTTCGTCGATTTAAAATCGATTGCGGTGATCGCGAGATGCGCACGGATTTGTGCGCGTGAGAATCGCTGACGTTGGATCTGTGCGACGCCGTGCTCGCACCGCGGTCGACGTTCCCACGTCGCGTGCCCGGGACGGGGCCGCCCGCCAAAGTAAAACAACAAACCCGCTGGTGGCGACGCGACCTCGGCCATCCAAAATGTAAGGCCGGGTCCCGCTTCTACGGTGACCGTGCCTCCAAGGGTCACGAGAGATTTAGATCGGTAAAGCGACGTGACACCAGCAGCATCTCCAGATGCTGCACAGGAACGACCGCTCACATCAAATAATCATCATCATAATGCGGAGGAGACGTCAAATAACAGAGAATATCAACAGTGACCGACCACACACAAAGCTTTAAAGCAGCTTTCAAAATGGATGTAATATTCAAACCCAACATCACCATTTGGTGGGATATTTCCTAAAAGGAGGAACCTATTTTCCGCGTTATATTTGTTGTGTCGTGATGGCAACAGCAGCAGCAGTGTGCTCAGGAGCTCGATGCCAACGTCAACATCTGCTGCTGCTGCTCGGCACGACGAGAGAGGGCTCCAGCAGACACAGAGTTGGTGTCGTTCCTGCTCCTCCTCCGCTGAAAGAGCGCAGACTTCCACAGTGGTTCACGATATGGTCCGTGGTTTTTTTTTCACATAAGACATTTTCACATCGACTGTATATGCAGCAAACTCGGCCATGCTTACAGACACGAAGTCACAAAACCACGCGGAGTGGCCTCAAATCAAACGGAGACTCCAGCGGACCAGAGGCAAGGGGGGGGGCGCAGGAGGGGCTCTGGAGTGTGGATTTACACTGGGCGCGCTTGCAGCCACGCGAGCGACACAGGGAAATAGCTGAGCGAGAAAAACGGAGCCCCCAAACTCCGCCTATCTCTATAAGAAGTATATATATACAGTAGAGAGCACGCGCGAGAGTGCACGCGCTCGCTCGCGATGACTCCGCGCGACCGGGGGAGTGGCAGGGTTCGTCCCGCCGCCACCGCCGCCGCCGCCGCCGCGTCGTGAGAAGGGTTTGGAGGCGCAGCACGGTGAATGTGAAATCGGCACGGGGAAGTGAGTGGGTCAGAGTGCGGTGCTGGGGGGGGGGGGGCAGGCAGTGCCGGATCAAGGCGTGGGGGCTTTAGGGGCTGCAGCCCAGGGGCATCCAGAGATGAAGTGAAAAGTTATTTCACTTGTGAATGCTGAATTTTATTAGTTGTTAGCCTTGTAAAAATAAATATATATTTTTTTTTCTTTAACTTTGTTTTCCTTTTGGAAATATTACTGGGGGCCTCACAGTACCTGTAGTACCAGGGGCCTACACAATCTTAATCCGGCCCTGGGGGCAGGACACCGCGGGATCGTGTGTCGCGAGAGACGGACGCGGCGTTTGGTTGGCGGGGATTTGTTTGTTTTTTGGTAGTTTAATTTTAATTTAAAAGCGAACCTCTCCGCAAATTCCGGGGAACGCTCCACGACAAGCCGGCTCGCGTTATTGGATTTAAAGGCCAAAGGGCATCGCGCGCGCGCGTGCCGCTGCACCACAAAGTCGGCGGCGACTCTCAGCTCGGTGTCGACAGCTCAGCTGACGACGCGCGTGGAGGGGCGCGCGTTGTCAAAAAAATGTAAATACATTTCACGGGGAATTCGCTTTGTCGCGTCGCCGAGCGCAACAAATTAAAAACGCGTTCTGCTCAGGATTAGTTTTTATTTCAAGAATTTTTTTTTTAAGAATTGACTCCGTCTAATTTGGACGCTATATATACACGTACATTCGGAGACACCGGTTGTATCGTACTGACAGTGATTAATACAACGACGAGGGACAAAGCGAACGGGAGCACAGTAACCTCTCTACGCCAATGACGCAGGACCAGGGTTGGTGCACGTGGCTGTGAACGCGGCCTCCCCGTGTTGTGCACACACACAGAGACAGACCGCTGACTCCGTGAGCCAGACGAGTATACGTTGGTGCCGCTTGGTGCCACGTGGTTATCGGCCCCGTGGAACCTCGGCTGGGACCGACACGTGTGAGATATTTGGTGTGGGCTGCTCAGGGCAGACAGACAAAGCGAGTTCTATCTGCAGACAAGTCTGTCTAGAATCTAGACGGACAGATACCAATACACATTGCTCTCCCGACGGTAGATCGGGGCTGGGAGTGTTGGTGCAGTGGTCAGCGCACCGCGCTACGAACCCAGCGACCAGAGTTGGATTCCCGGCGACGACTAACGGCAGTGGCGAAAGTGATATCAGAACCGGCCCTGGGCCTCCTCCTCCTCCCCCAATCCGCACTGACCGGGTGAAGTACAACCGACATCGCTTGGGATGACAAAGGGCTGACGGTTATCATCATTATAATTTTAAATTCACTCTGGACCGACAGGTCACGAGACATGACAGGTCAGTCTATCATCCAGGCAGGTCCCCAGGGAGACGAGCCACTCCGGGCAGCGTGTCCGAGCCGCCGGCAGCAGAGAGGATCGCCGTTCCGCGATGGGAAATGCCCTCATTACTGCCGACGTCGGGATGGAGTGGTGTATGTAGGGGGGGGGGTGGCCACGGTTATAAATACCGCGGTGAATCACGGCGTCGCGAATAGATGTCGGTGACGCATCAACCACTGGCTCGCACGCCTCGCCGCCGATTGAGGGGGGGAGTGCCTTGGGGGTCACCGCAGCCACATGGGGGGTATGGGGGGGGGGAAGTTGTTTTGGCATTCACACCACGGACTCATGAGAAATACAGAGACACGAGGGCCACGGGGAGACGTGGGCCACAAGAACACGAACGAAGTCGCTACCTTCATGAGTAAGGAAGTGATTAAGCGCTGTGAGCCCGAGCCAACCAGCACGCACGATGGACGCTGCGAGGTGAAGACGTGGCGATGGGATGGGATGGAGGGAGTTTGAGCCATGGGCCTGCGCAGCAACTTGCGCAGACAACGTTTGTCTCCCTCTTGGGCTGTCCCGGGGCCCTTACCGCACAGCGAGATGATGTGGCTGCTGTCTTCATGCACAAACTTCCGAGTCACCGCCTCCTCCATGATTTGCTTCACCTGACGGGACACGCGGACGCGCGCGATCACACACACACATACACACACATACATACACACACATACACACAAAGACACATACAGACACACACGCACACATACACAACGCACGCATTTGCTAAGAACCCACTCGTGAACTCACAGGAACCCACTCGTGAACTCACAGGAACCCACGCGTGAACTCACAGACTACTGCTGACTGTTAGCGAGCACCTATTAAGGTAGCAAAGAGCGCACGAAGCGGCGCCGACGCCAACGTGACAACGCACCACCGAGCACCACGTACTCGTTTTAGGCCGAGTCGACTTAGGGGAGTCCCAAATCATTTCTAAATATCACCTGCCACTGATGTTAGCCGTGACCGGGAATCGGACTCAGGCCACAAGTTACTGGACAGCTATGAGAAAAGAGCTTAAAAGCTCATCGGATTTCTCCAGGACAAATGTTGGTATGCTACCCAAAGACAAAGATCCCCCGTGTAGCCTTAACAGACTGTAGGGGCAAGTGCTGTTAGCGAGCACCTATGAAAGCCGGCACGGCATACGAGGGAGCAACCGATCCATTAGCACCTCGAATTTGGAAAAGCGGCCATTCAATGATGATCGATCAATCACACGCAACGGGCAGCCTTCTACCCCTGTCAACCGCTACATTGCCATATAATGTTCAAAGAAGTCATTCCTATTCAGGGATATGTTAACACCTATATATATAAATACACCATCAGCTGCCCCTATTCAAATGTTAATTACTAAATGCGTGGACCGTAACAGCAACCGTTAAAACACAAATCACAACGTACCAGGGGGAATAATTTTCTACCGATACATTGCCAAATTTGTAAAACAATGTAACTCCGCTTTAACCTGGAATCCTCCAAACAAAAAAAGCCCGCGCAACCATTCCCCTTCCGCCGATATGATTTGCCGAGCGTTCGATCACAGCCATCCGCATTCACCAACAAACACCACCACCAGCAGAAAACCCAACGCAGAAGATGCCTGGGGTTTGATCTCCACCCTAAACCGCATCCACTGCACAAAGCACGGCGGCAGTGACTGCGGATACCTGACGATGCCACGAATTGAAAATGAAAAACTCTCCCAGTGGTGTCGTGGTGCGACTGTGCTCATCCAGAACAGAGGCCGTACGACGTGGAACGACGCAATGCCCCGATCCACAAATACGAAGGAGACATCGCAGCGATGACGATGATCCACTACGACCACTCCGCTTGCTCCTGACGCGGTGATAGCTGAGCTTGACCACCTCAATGTGACATCGAGTTGTTGATGCTCTGCATCTACATCAGCCGCCCTACTAAAGAAGAAGATGAATGCTGTCGCTTGGCTCTCCAACACACTACCGCTGTGCTGGACTAGTGACGAATTGGCACGTTCTGTTTACGTGACAACCCTTACTAGTTGGCCGTGTCGGGTGGTGGCGGGTTTGACGACACATTTATATATTCACGCGATCTAACCCAACAAAAACCTCGATTATGGAAGATGAAGACCACCACCACCACCAGAGTGGCCATCGGTTTGTGGGGAGGCTGCAGAGCCCCGCGTTTGTGAAGCTGGAGCGGCTTTGGTGGCGACGGTGGCGGCCGCCGACAACGCGGAGACTGCGTTCCGCCCTCTGACCCCGTTCGTTCACGGCCGTGTTCACCATTCGGGGTGTGGAGGGAGGGGCTAGGGGTCTGTGGAGGGAGGGGCTAGGGGTGTGTGGAGGAAGGGGCTAGGGGGGTGTAGAGGGAGGGGCTAGGGGGGTGTGGAGGGAGGGGTTTGGGATGTGGAGGGAGGGGCTAGGGGTGTGTGGAGGGAGGGGCTATGGGGGTGTGGAGGGAGGGGCTAGGGGTGTGTGGAGGGAGGGGTTTGGGATGTGGAGGGAGGGGCTAGGGGTGTGTGGAGGGAGGGGCTAGGGGTGTGTGGAGGGAGGGGCTAGGGGTGTGTGGAGGGAGGGGCTCGGGGTGTAAAGGGAGGGGCTAGGGGTGTGTGGAGGGAGGGGCTAGGGGTGTGTGGAGGGAGGGGCTAGGGGTGTGTAGAGGGAGGGGCTCGGGGTGTGGAGGGAGGGGCTAGGGGTACCCCTGTGGAGGGAGGGGCTAGGGGTGTGTGGAGGAAGGGGCTAGGGGGGTGTAGAGGGAGGGGCTAGGGGGGTGTAGAGGGAGGGGCTAGGGGGGTGTGGAGGGAGGGGTTTGGGATGTGGAGGGAGGGGCTCGGGGTGTGGAGGGAGGGGCTAGGGGTGTGTAGAGGGAGGGGCTAGGGGTGTGTGGAGGGAGGGGCTAGGGGTGTGTGGAGGGAGGGGCTAGGGGTGTGTGGAGGGAGGGGCTAGGGTGTGTGGAGGGAGGGGCTAGGGGTGTGTGGAGGGAGGGGCTAGGGGTGTGTGGACGGAGGGGCTAGGGGTGTGTGGAGGGAGGGGCTAGGGGTGTGGAGGGAGGGGCTAGGGGCGTGTGGAGGGAGGGGCTAGGGGTGTGTGGAGGGAGGGGCTAGGGGTGTGGAGGGAGGGGCTAGGGGTGTGTGGAGGGAGGGGCTAGGGGTGTGTGGAGGGAGGGGCTAGGAGTGTGTGGAGGGAGGGGCTAGGGGTGTGGAGGGAGGGGCTAGGGGTGTGTGGAGGGAGGGGCTAGGGGTGTGTGGAGGGAGGGGCTAGGGGTGTGTGGAGGGAGGGGCTAGGAGTGTGTGGAGGGAGGGGCTAGGGGTGTGTGGAGGGAGGGGCTAGGGGTGTGTGGAGGGAGGGGCTAGGGGTGTGTGGAGGGAGGGGCTAGGGGTGTGTGGAGGGAGGGGCTAGGGGTGTGTGGAGGGAGGGGCTAGGAGTGTGTGGAGGGAGGGGCTAGGGGTGTGTGGAGGGAGGGGCTAGGAGTGTGTGGAGGGAGGGGCTAGGGGTGTGTGGAGGGAGGGGCTAGGGGTGTGTGGAGGGAGGGGCTAGGGGTGTGTGGAGGGAGGGGCTAGGGGTGTGTGGAGGGAGGGGCTAGGGGTGTGAGGACGGAGGGGCTAGGGGTGTGGAGGGAGGGGCTAGGGGTGTGAGGACGGAGGGGCTAGGGGTGTGGAGGGAGGGGCTAGGGGTGTGTGGAGGGAGGGGCTAGGGGTGTGTGGAGGGAGGGGCTAGGGGTGTGTGGAGGGAGGGGCTAGGGGTGTGTGGAGGGAGGGGCTAGGGGTGTGTGGAGGGAGGGGCTAGGGGTGTGGAGGGAGGGGCTAGGGGTGTGTGGACGGAGGGGCTAGGGGTGTGTGGAGGGAGGGGCTAGGGGTGTGTGGAGGGAGGGGCTAGGGGTGTGGAGGGAGGGGCTAGGGGTGTGTGGAGGGAGGGGCTAGGGGTGTGTGGAGGGAGGGGCTAGGGGTGTGTGGAGGGAGGGGCTAGGGGTGTGTGGAGGGAGGGGCTAGGGGTGTGTGGAGGGAGGGGCTAGGGGTGTGGAGGGAGGGGCTAGGGGTGTGTGGAGGGAGGGGCTAGGGGTGTGTGGAGGGAGGGGCTAGAGGTGTGTGGAGGGAGGGGCTAGGGGTGTGTGGAGGGAGGGGCTAGGGGTGTGTGGAGGGAGGGGCTAGGGGTGTGTGGAGGGAGGGGCTAGGGGTGTGTGGAGGGAGGGGCTAGGGGTGTGTGGAGGGAGGGGCTAGGGGTGTGGAGGGAGGGGCTAGGGGTGTGTGGAGGGAGGGGCTAGGGGTGTGTGGACGGAGGGGCTAGGGGTGTGGAGGAAGGGGCTAGGGGTGTGTGGAGGGAGGGGCTAGGGGTGTGTGGAGGGAGGGGCTAGGGGTGTGTGGAGGGAGGGGCTAGGGGTGTGTGGAGGGAGGGGCTAGGGGTGTGTGGAGGGAGGGGCTAGGGGTGTGGAGGGAGGGGCTAGGGGTGTGTGGAGGGAGGGGCTAGGGGTGTGTGGAGGGAGGGGCTAGGGGTGTGTGGAGGGAGGGGCTAGGGGTGTGTGGAGGGAGGGGCTAGGGGTGTGGAGGGAGGGGCTAGGGGTGTGTGGAGGGAGGGGCTAGGGGTGTGGAGGGAGGGGCTAGGGGTGTGTGGAGGGGGGTTCCGGCGTTTTGATTTTTCCATCGGCGAGAAAAAATGGGGGGAGACCGCCCCCCCGTAGGTTCTACGCAGACGCGGGCGTCAAAGCAAAGTCCCTCTTGCGTATCGCGCCATGGACATCGGTCAAATGTCTTAATGGTGGGGGGGGGGAGGGCGGTGATATTTGAACCGGGTATCGTGCTAAATCTCGTTAATTAAATTACGATTTCACGGCGCCGGATTGTGTGGCGTGCAGACACCAGCGGGGTGAGAGAAGAGATGGGCGGCTGGGTTAGTCTCGAGGCTGTGTGTCCATCACACCTCATCACTCCAAACCAACCCATCACGCAACATCTCACATGCGTACCAATTTACCCCCCCCACCACATTTCCGTCCCATTCCCAATCGCTCACACCATACTTTATTTCCATCCCATCTTCGTGCGCATCACATCACGTCCAATCGCATTGTCTCAGCGTCCCATCCACGTGGTGCATCACCATCATCATCATGAGCCACGATCGATCTGGCCGTGAAACGCAACGATCCATTCCGCTCCTGCACGCGAGCCGATTTCATCGCTCCATCTCCACACGACGTGGCCTGACATTTCAACCCCACCACCCGAAATAGCATCCCACCTCCATCGCCATCGCAACCCGCCACCACGGCCACTGCAACCCACCTCACGTGAACTCCCACCGTCTAATTCCATCAAATCCTGATTTCCATCTCCTCCCATCACACCCCCACCCCACACCGCGCCCACCCGCCCACCCGCCCGCACTCCCCCTCTCATCACGTCTTCATCCCCCCCTCTCATCACGTCTCATTGCGCCCCATCTCACCCGAAGGAGCCTCCCCGTAATCCACCGTGAGACTCTCCCTTCACAATAAGGCTCGCGTGGGCGGCCACGTGCAAATTGTGTGTGAGAGAGGGGAGAGAGGGGGGGGGGGGAAGAGAGGAGAGATGGGGTGGAGAGAGATGGGGTGGAGAGAGATGGGGTGGAGAGAGATG